TCCATCTCGTCTCCTTTTTGTAGGGTGACGATGGACGCATATCTAGTTCTAGACTTGGGCGCATTGTCTTTTTGCGTGTCGTTCCGTCCTTGCTTACCATCATTGAACCTTAACGAATTCAGCTCCTCGATCATTTTCCTATTTTGTTCTTTCAACTCTTTATTCTTCTCATTTTGTTGTTCTTTATTTTGTCTTAACAGGTTTTCATATTCTATGTCCTTTCTTCCTATTTCTGTCCTTAATCTTTGAATTTCTTCTTGTTTGATCTGAACTTTTGTCTTCTCTTGCACTAAATCCGTTAAGGTTCTTTGCTGTTTAGTAAGGATCGCTACCAGCTCTTCGTATATGTCGCTCATTCCATGGAGGACTTTGGCCTGCTCAGTCTTTCCAAAGCTAATCTTACCTCTGGCGGATTCCGTTTCTCGGGTGACAGCTTCACGGACTCCTCTTATGATCTTGTTAATCTTTTCCAGATTCCCAGACATATCAAGACCTCTACCTTCCTCGAAAACGTCATCTACTATCTCGATGCTTTCCAAGACTGCACGTTTAGCATGTCCTCTCAGCACGTATTCTTCTTCAGCTTTTCCCTTGCCCATACTAACATCTCCCTTTTGTTTTTCAGGAGGCGTTCTTACTAGGGAGTTTCGAGGGCGATGACTAATGTTATAGTCATCTTCGTCACTCGATTGAGACATGGCGGTCGAGTGTATAAGAATGCAAGGTGTAAAGTTCTCTCAGTTCGAGGTGAGCGAAATTATTCTTAATGACAAAATGGACCAGGTGTAACACAAGGCCACACCCAAACCATAAACAAGTTAAAAAGAGACAATACAAGGATAGTTAAAAATGTCGTATAAATAAAATAATTGTAAAAATAAAATACGTAGTTAAAAATTAAAAGTGAAACGAGACCAATGACAGATTAAAATTAATGTAAATATAAAACCTAACCTAACTATAATCTAATATACTTAACCTAATATCACAACTTTTGGTTGCAGGTTCCTGGGGGCTGTGCCGGGTGGGGGAACAGCCGCAATGTCTATGTTCAACCCACCAAGGGGGCTCACAACGGGGCCCCTCGTAGCAGCGCTAACGTCACTACCAGCACACAGCACTTGTCACCAAACACATGGCGCGGGACAAGCCCCAAATAGGTAAGGTTATAAATTTCCTTACGTTTATAGCCCCACGATATAATACAACACTTTGTTTCAGAGCACCAAGAAACACGTCCGCACTCTTCGACAAACGAACCAAAAGTGAAACCTAGGGACACTCCCTCCTTTATTATATATATTACAGTGCCGGTACATGTATTTTCATACTTCACCGGCACTGACTTCACCCCACCTTAGGATCCTCACTCTATCATCTCCCTCACCCTCTTCCTCAATTTCATTCACCTTCACCCACTCCTATTCTTCTCTTCTCAAACACTCTCCTTGCAAATTCCATCAGTCCGTCATACATCTCTTTCGACCCCAACAATCTCTCTAACCGTCTCTCTCCTTCATCCATCCATTCCGACCACACACAACTCCCTCTCTCCTCACCATACAGTCTACACTCAAACAGAATATGACGGACACTCTCCACACATCCACACCTACACTTGTCCGTTTCACTCAATCCTCTCTTATACAAGAACTCATTCATACTACCGTGTCCGGTCAGCAGAAACAACCCAAACATTCCCGGCTGAAACCATTCATTCTCCCTAACAAACCTAACATTCGGAACAAAATCATACGTCACCCTACCCTTTTCACTCAACTCCCATCTTCTCTGCCAAACCTCCCAAACTTTCGCCTCCAACACCTCCATTCTCCCTAAGTCTTCATCCACGCTCGTCCCTGTCTGCAACCACTCCAAATCTCCTGAATTCATTCCTCTCTTTTCCCTAAACATCACACCTCTCCTGACAAATTCTAAATCCCACGGCAACTCACGGTATGACCAGACGCGCAATCTTCCACTCCTCCGGCACCCATCCTTCTCTCAAACACGCATTAAACAATTCCATCACATACTCCGGTACCACCTTCCACACAACATCCACCATCTCAGGCGTTATTCCATCCATTCCCGCTGATTTCCTCTTTCTCATGCACCCCACACTCCTTTCAATCTCACCAAAACTTACTCTCTCCACAGTGCTTTCCTCCCTTTCATACAACCCAT